CTTTGAATATTTAATTTAATATTTTCTTAGGTTCTTTGGACTTTTCAGGGAACACACACTTCATATTGATTCAGACAGAGTCAATGATATAGTTTATAAAAATAAATTAAATTTTATCTTCTAAACTAATGATTATACATGACAAAGTACCAATGAAATGATGTTTGTAGCAAAACCTTATTAAGTATCTGAGAGCTCTTGTGATGTCTGGGTTGTAAGATCAGTTTGACTGTATGGTTTAATAAGCTATAGATTATTTGTAAAACTATCTGACACCGTTGTGCAGAGTCTACGATACCCCTTGTGTGACGGTCGCTCTCTGCGGTACGGAGGAGAGGGCCACGGTGGTGAAATCACCGGACACAATGGCTCATAGGATCTCAAAGAGTCGCAGCTCCCTTTGAGTTCAGATATTACCAGCCATGAGACATTACCGGGGTCTGCACGTGTGAGGTGCTGTAGCGTCTGAAACCACTCGCATCAGGAAGTGATCTAACCTTTTATTAACTGTTGCTGACAAGTTTTAATGATGTTACCAAAAATGCCTCAGGAGATCCCTCCTTCCCTCAGATACTTGGAGAGGTCATTTCTTAGTGTGAAGAGAAAATGTTAAACATTTATAATATTATGAGGTGTGAATATACTGATAGATTAAATCCTTAAATTCAGCAAATACTAATCTGGTGTAATTCAAGATCTTAAATAAATCCTTACAGGAAAAATATTAATTTTAACCCGTCATTCATTAATATGAAGTATAGGACACATTATCCAAACACTTTGGATTTAAACAAATTGTTCATTTAACAAAATATGACTATATGAAGTTTTAAAGTCATTTATGACAGGGAAGATAGACTTTATTCAAAGAGGATAGATAAAAAGTCCTGCATCTTGTAGCCTTGAGGACTCATGACACACACAGGATTATTTCAGAATATTAGCTCAAGTTCATTTCTTCACATCTGCACCACAGTGTCAGATTAATCTGTATGAAGACGTTTGGCCTGTAAGTTAAGTTAACTTCTGACCATTTTTGATTAAATACATGGCCATTTGGTACGCTGCAACTGAGAAAAATAGAGTAATCTGTATTCAGATACTTTTACGCTTAATAAAACGTTTAGGCCTGAAGGAGCTAATAGGAACACAATCAGCAAACTGGACATATTTGCTATTAAACATTCACACGGACTCATATTCATAAGTTTAATCATGCAGTTTTGTCCAGAAGCTACACGGATTTTAAGAAATCTGGCCTATAAAAGTCAGTTGTTGACTTTTATAACAGTTAAATGAAACTTAATGTTAGATATTAATAGTTTTAGATATAAACCAAAAAGTAAACGTAATCACAGCCACAGACTGATCAAAACTGCTATTAATCACGGCTTTTCCTGATTAACCATGTTTGATTTTACAGCATGTGAACCATTTGTATGTAAAACCTTGATGGTTTATACCTGTGGACACTTCCGGGATGCTGCTGCCTTCAGCTCCAAGAATGTTAATTGCACCCTTTGGCGAGAAAAATAAATTAAAAATAAACACGATTAAAAGCAGAAGTTAGGATACTTGTTGTTTTGAAATAAAAAACAGCAAACATTAAAGCCCAAAAGGGATTTTCATACATTTGTTTCTGAATAATTAGATGAAAGTCCTTTGGGCGCTCAGCTTTCAGCTTGTAGGAGGGAAGCTTTCAGCAAAAAAATAAACATAATAAATGGAGCTCTTCTTTTAATGGGGCTTACATGGTTTCCCCAGCCTAAGATTCATTAATGGAGACTAATCTTCAACATCGCTGTACCTTAAAAATCCAGCGTGTCTCATTACCTGGGAGAGATTAACCACAGTCCACTAAGGAAGATGATGAGTGTCTGCTTTAGTACCGAGGGCTCATATTGTAGCACAGGAAATCTCTCGGATCATTACGGCAACCAAATTCAAGTTTGTCAAACAAATGGCCTGTGGCAGAGAATCTTACATCCTGCATGAAGATTGTCTCCGCATTCAGCCAGGGGTCAACGATAGAGTGCTGTTTGAGTTAGACAAGTTTGCTTCATGCTAATGAGGCACAATGTTTTTGAGGCCAAACGGCAAACATGCAAACGGTCAGCTGCACAGATGTTCGTCGGGAGCTGCATGATGGACTCAAAATGAGTCGGACATTCATTTTAAAGCTGATGCAACCAGATGTTGACGAAATTTTACAAAAACCAAAAGCGTGATTACTCAATAAATGACAGAGCAAGACAACAAATAGAAACTATTCCCCTGATGTTGGTGGAGAGTAATCATTCACGATGAATGCAGCTGCACGCAGGCAGTTCAACGCTGATGACATTTGATGACAAAGAGGTCAGTGCTTTAATAAGCCACGAGAGACCAAAACATCAAATCTGTGGTTGTTATTGGCTTGATGAAACAAAAGCAATCACTTCCCTCTATCGTTCTAATGAAATAAATAACACAGTGACTGAATCTAGTTTGTAAGGGGCAGAGGCTTTGTTGTCGTTGTCACAGCTGCCATGGTGCAGAAAGGTGATTGTTGTTCCCATCTGGACGCGTAATGAACTCAGAGGTTACAAACAGATGTGACGTACAGCACAAAGGGAGCAAAACAAGCTAAAGGACGAACCTTTCATTCAGTGTTTTGTTTCAAATTTCCTCTCCAAAATTCACAGTGATTTATTCTTTTACTGAATGACTCCAGTTGTGTTGGGTTGTTTTCTGCGAAGGTGGAGGATGTTGATCCAGATAACCTGAGAGCATGCCATTGAAATTCATGAAAGAGTTCAGATGAGGACCTGTTTCTTTAAAAAGAGAAAAATAACACCAAGTAAGGAGGTGACAACTCACTTCATGTTTCTTTAATTGGCTGCATTAGTCTATCTTGGACAGGAAGTGTTGGGACATGCATCTGTTATCAAAATAAATCAGTATAGAGTGTGAATGTAACAGATGAAAAGACTACACTGTAATAAACGAAAACATCGGTTTTACAGTTAAACGCCAGCAGCTGAGGTTGCAGAAAATCAACCGTACAATCATTTCACAAGTTTTTACGGTACGACGCCTGAAGTTGAGGTTCCCGATATTCAACTGTAAGATTACGGGTCGTACATTTTCTTCTTTCACAGTGCACAAACATTCACAATAAACTCACAGATGTTGCTGAAATGCCATCATGAAATTATTTCATGGTATACACTGGTAAAAAATGTTGCTATAAAATGCCGGCTGAGCCAAAATTCAATGGTAAAATTACAGTTGATACGTTTTTTTCTTTAAAGCTGCTATAGTGAATCTACAGAGCAAGTTAAGCTGTGAATGCAAATGTGGTCATGGAACACTCACCCCTCCTCTCAAGCATCTTCTCTGAAGCCCTTTTTAGAAGACATACCATGCTGGCAGATCAGCGTAATACTGCCGCCACGGTGTGTCTTCTGATTGCGCCGAGGTGGCATGGCGATGCGGGAGTTTAGCAGGATTCGTGCTCCCACGCTTGGAAGTAATATTGGCATAACACCGGACTTGTGAATGCATTTTACGCTTTGGCGCAACAGCGGGAGCTGTCATGATCACGTGGGGAGTTGCTGCCAAACTCTAGAGGGCAACTATATTGAAAATGAAAGTAAAAACGGGCCGTGAGTTTCACTGTTGTAAACAGAGTCAGCTGAGATGATAAACTGGTGCGATGCGGAGCTCCAGGAGCTTCTCTCCGTTAGAGCTGGAGGTCAGAAGCTGCACGGGGACTGAGGAGCGGCTTGTTAAAAACTGTAATGAGCTCTGCTTTGATGGCTATTAAAAGCAAGTTATGACCAAAATAAACAGCAGTCCACGGCAGCACAGAGACCACCCCCATGTCCCCTTTCTATGAGCTGGTGCCTATCTCCGGCGGTCAATGAGCAATCAGGCGGGTTACACCCAGGACAGAGAGCCGGTCCATCGCAGTTGAGAATAACTTGTTTCTAAATACAAAAAAATAAAATAAATAACAAAACCTGACCTGTAAGTCTTTGTCTGCTTGGAATAAACATTCCAATTTGTTCTTTTTCTGATAATGACTCATTTTTTAATTATTTATTTGGTTATTCAGCATGCCACCCAGTAATTTTGTGAAAGTCTGAAGCCAGTTATGGTTATCTAACTACTTATCAGGTTAAAAATAATTATTGCTTAGTGCTTGTTCCTTCTTCTATGAAGAATTATTCTGTTTAATCAGTTTGTTGTGTCTAAAATGCAGAATCCAGCAACCAGGTTTGCACAATTTTTATGTGAGATTTTTGTGTTTGAAAAGCTGAAAAACTGTGTTTCCTTACAACCTAAAACACGTTACATGTGATGTTTACGAGAAAAGACGATTAGTCAAAGTGTTGTTGCACCTTATTTTACTTTTATCCCACTTGTTGATTAGTTTGATTAGTGTGTCACATCATGGATAATAGAAGAACCACACACATTTATATAAATATACCCTGCACACACACACACACACACACACACTGGCTTTTAGTTATAAACTCCTGATAACTATTTATAGCGTGTTTCACTAACAACAAGCACTGCTGACTGGTGCTTTTCCCAGATCAGTTCTGTGATTGGCTTATACTTGACAGCCTTGACAGCCTTTATCTTCCTGCTTATGTTCCAGTGAAGCTGCACTTTCATGCAGATGCAAAAATAAGACAGCATAGCAAACCCAGCTAAGCTCGCGGTGTTGTGTTTTCACGTTAACCCAAAATTTTTTATATGAAAATAAATGTAAATAAAATAGAGGCACTGGTTTTATTTTGAATATGTTTGACAACAGTGCCCCCTACTGGAAATGTAGTTGTTTTAATTGGTTAAAAAATTATATTTTGGAGCAAGAAAAAAAAGTAAAATTTACTAGTAAGATGTTGTTCTAAAACATTTTAAAATATTTTATTCAAAAGGAAAATTATTCGATCATGTTTAGCGGCATAAATAAACCCAAAAGTCAAGCTGGGTCCCTTTAAAGTTGCTTAGCAACCGAGAGGCAAACAAGCGCGAGGCTTTCTGGGGACCATAAACTAAGATTTACCTATAACATTAGCTCGTTTAACTTAACTAAACAGCAAGTTTAGTCCTCTTTAGACTCTCGGTTATCTCGTATTACTTATTTAACTTTGTTTTCAACAAACTCATGGCAGGAAAGAAGAAAGAGGCGATCCTACAGGTATGAAGACGAAGAGCGCGTGCACTGTTCCCATGAATACTGTTGCTCTTCTTTTTGTAAAATTTACTTTTCTTGTTCAGGTATCAGTCACAAACCAAGAACAGTGGACAGAAATGATGGCTACTAAGGGCTTAACAGGTGAACCTTTATTATATCATGTTTCCATGATAAATACTCGACTGTAGCTTGTATTCTGCTGCTCCCTTGTGTTCACTGGGGGAACTACAGACTGAACCCCTGCATCAGTTTTCAGCATCCTTCTGTTTTCTGTCCCTCGTTAATACACATCATAATAATCCTTGCAGTTGTAGATGTTTACCAACAGTGGTGTGGCCCCTGTCGAGCTGTGGTCAGCCTCCTGCGGAAAATAAAGAACGAACTGAGTGATGACATGTTGCATTTTGCAACTGTAAGCCCTGGACAGGTTTTTAAATCTTATAGTTGGAGAAACTGGAGCATTGTTTTTGTGGAGGAGCAGATCTGCATGTGTCTGTGTGTGATGCAGGCTGATGCTGACAGCATTGATGCTCTGGAAAGGTATCGAGGAAAATGCGAGCCCACTTTCCTCTTCTACGGGGTGGGTAACACTAAATGCACGTGTGTGTGTGTGTGTGTGTGTGTGTGTGTGTGTGTGTGTGTGTGTGTGTGTGTGTGTGTGTGTGTGTGTGTGTGTGTGTGTGTTTGGGTAATATTTTACAACCTGTACTGTAATAATGTTATCAGTTTAAATCACTGAACAAGTAACTGGTTTATCATTTATTCAGAAAAATTTCTAAAATGATTATATGTCATGTTGTAATTTATCATTTTTTGTTTGTGTTTTATATATAGTTTTATTTTTTTGTGTTGCAGCCAGACATTTTGCTAAACAAATGGTGTAACACCAGTTTTTTCCATGTTTATTTGTTTTTTCTTAGCTTTGTGCCAACTAATAGAGTTGTTTTCACGTTTATATCTCATTTTTAATTAATTTAGGCTACTGCCCCTGCAACCCGACTCCGGATAAGCAGAAGAAAATGGATGGGTGGATGGATAGTTAAATTATTTGATTTGTGTTGAATGAGCAGGGTGGAGAGCTGGTGGCTGTGCTGCGAGGAGCTAACGCTCCCATGCTTCAGAGGCTGATCGTGGAGGAGCTGGCCAAGGAGAAACTGGTTCTGGAGCAAGGAGGTGGACGCAAAGTGGTGAGTGGTGCACTACTAAGGATCTGTGACCAAAGATCCAAAAAAAATTACCATAAGAATCTGAAATGCTGTCACTGTCTTATTCCTCGACATATCTTGAAAATTTTGCAGACCTTTTGTAAGATTCATACCATTGCAACGTTTTAATTGCAGATAAATAGTGATTGTATTATTTAGAAAAGCACTGAAAGTACAAGCTGTAAAATATAATTACTTATCTGAAAGAATGTTTGTCTTTTGCTTCTTTTCTACACCTCAATCAGTATTTATAAAAATCAGCTGGGCAAGAAACACATTGCACTTTTTCTTCCATCTTTGTGGAGAAATAAAAGATGCACATGAATTAAAGATGCACCTTTTTTGAATGCATGAGTACAGGTGAAACACAAAATTATAACATTCATTCATTTTATTTGTAGACTGCCTTCCCGTCGCCAATCCAGGCAGCCCATAATAACGATAATGACATAATGTAGTGCAAAACTTCATTTAATTCAACTTTAAAGGTGAAACTATTACATGAGACAGACTCATTACATGTAGAGCAGATATTTCAAGCCTTTGTTTGCTATAATTGTGATGATTATGACTTACAGCTTATGAAAACCCCACATTCAAAATCTCAGACAATTAGAATATTGCAAAAAGGTTAAATATTTTACTCTAATGAGCTAATGAATATGCAAAGGGTTCCTGAGCGTTTAAGTGGTCTCTCAGTCTAAGCTGAGTCACTGACATAAATGCACTTTTGCACCATATTCTCAGTTTTCTAGTTTGCCCGTATTTGTGCTTGCAGTGTTTGGATCGCTTGTTGTTTGCATCAGATGTTGTTGTGTCTCTCAGGTAAAAGATGACGCCCTGTTGGATGATGAGATAAAAGAAGAGGAGAAAACGCTTCAGCAGTCAGAAGTTGAGGACAGCCGTACTGGTAATGCATAAACAGTGAATTATAATTTTTATATCCTGTTGTTTAGGATAATTGCGTGCGCCGTTAACAGCATTAATGACCACTAATCTCTCTCTCCTCTCTTGCAGTATCTGCCTGTGAGCCCTACACGGTTGCCATAATCAAACCAGATGCTGTTGCTCAAGGCAAGACAAACGAGATCCTCACGAAGGTACAGAGAGAATGATAAAGCTCAGGTTTTAAAAGATTGTCTCGAGCCGTCTTCGTCCATCCTGTTGACACGTGTCTCCTGGATAGATCCAAGAAGCGGGGTTTGAGATTCTCGCGTGTGAGGAGCGAACGCTGACTGAGGCAGAAGCTCGAGACTTTTACCAACACAGAGCAGCGGAGGTACGATGGCACTGACGAAGTCAAACTGATGATGGTGCAGTGAGGATTCATGGAGTCATTGATATTCAGAGGCTAAATACCAAAGGGAGTAAAAATAAACACACTTCAGTTACTCTGCAATGCATTTGACATCCATCTAGATTTCCACACGGGGCTCAAAATAGAGTTGCTGTGTTGGCACATTTTCTTTTTTTTTTTCTTTTTTTTTTTTGCTTATCGTGCTGTTTATTATGAAACCAAACAGTCTGAGATTCAGCCATGTGGCAGGTGTGAGAGAAGGCTGGCAGGGAAATATTTATGCCCAGTATACATGACCATTAAACGTCCAATAATAAATATGTATGAGAGAGGTGGGGTGTTGATAAATCTGCTCCTGTCTCTCGCCTTTTTGATTTTGGTTTTCAGACTTGCTTTGAGGATCTGGTTCGGTTTATGGCCGGCGGCCCCTCTCGTATTCTGGTGCTTTCTCACACAGAGGGCTCGGCAAGCGTTATACCAGCGTGGCGTGAGTTCATCGGCCCGGCGGACATAGAGGAGGCCAGGAGAGAAAAGCCCGAAAGGTTCATTAAACGACGTAGAAGAGAAATTATTACCTTCATTTACACAAACTGCAAGCTGAGATTTGACGCAAGCATCGTTTCTAGCAATCACATAAAAAATAGATTATAGTCTGGAACAGCACATTCTCCCATGCTTGATCGGACACACCCAAAACATTATGCTTCTCTTTGGTGGAGCACCAGCCGAGCAACCATCTGGTCCTCCCTTCCTCCTCCCCACAGCTTGCGGGCACAATACGGCACACAGACTCTGTTCAACGCCGTGCACGGCAGCAAGGACAGCGACCAGGCCAGCAGGGAGCTCGCTTTCTTCTTCCCCAACTTTAGGACGACCTCGGCAGTGGAGCAGGATGGAGAGGAAGGGCGTGTGGAGAGGACGCTGGCTCTTATCCGGCCTGACGTTGCCATGGAGAACAGAGGTGGGGTTCAAGCCAAACACACACACAAATGGTCCTGAGTGGGAGCGTGCACGTACGCAATCACATTTTAACATTATGATGCCGTAATTATCAAATTTACAAAAGTACTTTAATTTGTTGATTAATGGCATCGTCTATTTTTATTTTGCAGACGAGATCCTGGCTCAGATCCAGAAGCTGGGCTTCACAGTGGCCCTCCAGAGAGAGGTGTTGCTGACAGAGGAACAAGTCAGACGGTTTTACCTCCAACATGTGGATGAAGACTACTTTCCTGCTCTACTGCGAAGCATGACCAGGTAGCTTTAACCCGTTCTGCTATCGTCCCAAACATCCTAATGCCGCTGCAAGCGTTTATCTCATGTCTCTGTTTTCCCAGTGGGCCGGTGCTTGCTTTGGCGCTGGCCAGAGAAGGGGCTGTCCTTCACTGGAAGAACAGTCTTGGTCCTCCTGACCTCGATAAAGCTAAAGAGGAGAGTCCCGAGTGGTGAGTGATGAGTTGCTCTTTTCTTTCAGCTGCTGGAACTAAAATAGGAGAGCAAAGGGTCACCGTGGTATAACAATGGGGCAGAAAAGCACCTTTCACTGCTAATCTGTGACAGCTTGCTAAATAAAAGTCTCCCTTTGACCCCTCGCTTTCACCTCGTCAGGTTTTGATAAAAACAGGGAAGTCATTTTTTTGCACTGCTGATCTCCAATTACACAATTAAAAAAACGCAGTTATCTAAAAGCTTCTTTTCCAAGAGCAAAGCCATTACTTACCTTCCTGCAAAGCTGTTTCTGTCAGTCGTCAAAAGGGATGTTCAGAAATGTGAAAAATTACCTGCAGGATGGGCAAAAGAGGCTAGAAGTACAGAAAATTATACCATTTTCCTCCAGGAGATCTAGATTTGTGAAAATTGCACTTCTTGATCCCCTTGAAATCATCAAAAGTGTAATAATTTGCATAGATTGTACCTTACAGTCTGCGTGCCCCCTGTCCCAGTCTCAGGGCCCAGTTTGCTGTGGATAACGAGCCCATAAACCAGCTTCACGGCAGCGCCAGTCCCGAAGAAGCAGAGCAGGAAATTAGCTTTTTCTTCCCTAAACAACAAACGCTGGCGGTAATTAAACCTGACGCAATGGATGAACACAGAGGTGCACTTTTAACAAAAAAAAACATTACATTTAAAATAAAAATATTAGAATTTCTTCAATAAACTAGATTTTATTCTTCAACAGATGTAATTTTGGAGGAGATTCGTGGGAGAGGCTTCACGGTGACGCGGCTGAAGGAGACGGTTCTGTCGAGAGAAATGGCTGAAGAGTTTTACAAAGAGCACAGAGAGAAGCCTTTCTTCAGCCAGCTGGTGGATTTCATGTGTCGGTTAGTCTGTCCACCCACACAGTCACAGGAGCAGGACAAGGTGACAGATCCGTCTCTGGTCTACCTGAGAGATAAATCTTAACAGCACTTTTTTCAAGCGAACATCAAATTTCCAGAGGTCAGGTTTCATCCTTTCACTAGGACCTCCAGCTGGTGTGGAAATGCAACAGTGCATTTCTAATTGGACTGGTTGGATAGTGATTTAGTTTTAAACTCAAGATCATTTTTGAGTCTTCTCCACAGAAGAATCTCTTTTAGCTGTTGAGGTGAAGGTTTAACCAGGCAATTTGAGATGTTTTCCATTAATCTTTGCTCCTTTTTTGACTGCATAACTCTCACATAAACCCATCACGACTCATAAACAAGCTACTTAAACGCCTCCGCATGAGGCAAAGACTCAGCAGCAATTAGCTCTTGAAGGTCAAACATTAGAAAGCATCCCATAATCTCTGAATATTTAGTCAAATTGTGTAGCAGAACAGAGAAAAACTAGAGATATTAGAGTTTAAAAAGATCCGGCTGGTCCTCTAGTTATGCCATCTGTAGTGATATTTACTCAACAGTAAAAATATTTTTATGAGAGGCAAAAAGGAGCGGTATTCTGTATGAAAAAGAGAAGTTTTCACTTGTGCATGACAGATTTTCACGTTTCATGTTTCACGCGAGTATTTAGAATAGTGTCCTCCCATCTTTTTGCCCTAATTGACCGCTCTCTCTTTCAGGGGTCCCTGCATGATGCTTGTTCTGACCAAGGAAAATGCTGTCGAGGAGTGGAGAGCGTTGATGGGCCCAACTGATCCACAGAAAGCCAAGGAGACCTCCCCAGAGTCTCTGAGGGCTCGATTTGCTGCAGACGTCCTTCACAACTCAGTTCACGGTTCCTCCAGCGAGCAACATGCAGAAGAGAAGATCCGTTTTATTTTCGGAGACATCAGCACAGAAGCAGCGCTCTCCGCCGACGAAGAGAGCGACGTAACCATCTCAGGTAATCTAATGATGTGTGTAATCGTCCTTTCCATCTGCCACACCGTGTGGCTTCGTGTGAGTAACAGTTTTGATCTTCTGCCGTGTGTGTGTGTGTGTGTGTGCGTGCGCACGCGCGTGTGTGTGTGTGTGTGTGTGTGTGTTTCATTGTGATTATCACCACAAAGTTGTATTGGCTGAAACAAGTGCTGCAGGTTTGTTTGTTCATTTCAGCTGAAGAGCTTGGCAGTCCTGCATATCTCAACAAAGAAATGTCAAGATCTTCAGCTGCAGACATTCATAATGACTCGTCATCATGAAGGTATTAATTTTTATGCAATTTTTATGCAAGAAAGGAGAGAAAACAACTGTTATTGGTTATCGGTGTTCTGCAGGTTTAAAACTGAAGTTAAATAAGTTTGTTTAATTATTTTCAATAAACTTTGTCTCAACAATCAGGTGACTGATTCATTTTTCTCACACAGCAGGGAAAAACTAGAACGCTTTTGTTTTATAAATAACAGTTTACCAAGGTACGGTCTTCATTACAAGGAACACAAACATTTTCTCTGTTTCTAGAAAGTTGATCAATCTCTTGTTTGGTGAAATCTGCACAAACAGGATCTTAATTGACAAATAATTAGAGAAAAATCTGCAAAATTCTGCACAAAAAAACCCCCCAAAAAACCCTCTAAAAACTATATATTTCTACTGCAGGGAAATAAGTTTTAACTGCAGTAAGTAAAGATTATTTTTTATTTAAAAAGAAGCAAAAATTATAGAAAAGAGCGTTAGTGGTGAATCCACTGTGCTTGGTGTCGGTGTTGCAGCCAGTGACAGATGGATCAACGGTTTTATTTGGTTTGAGCTAATTTTGAACAGGAACACATTGTGAAAAATATAAAAGGAAAAATGTCCTAATTGTGAACTAAAATACTCTCATCAGGTGCCAGAAACCTCTGTAAATGGACACACACAGCAATGCTTTGGATGACATCAATATCCCAAAATGAATCTTGCCTAAATTATGTTTTAGTTATGATCTGAGTATATCTGGGTTTAGTTATGATTGGGGCAGCAGTAGCTCAGGTGGTAGAGCGGGTTGCCTCATGATCGGAGAGTCATGGGTTCGATTCCAGCTCCCGCCAGGGGTATCCTGCTGTTGTGTCCTTGGGCAAGACACTTCACCCAACTTGGCTGTGTTAGTGGTGGTCAGAGGGGCCGACGGCGCCAAATGGCAGCCTCGCCTCTGTCAGACCGCCCCAGGGCGGCTGTGGCTACAAGTAGCTTACCATCACTAGCAGTGTGTGAATGTGAGAGTGTGTGAAAGCGTCTTTGGGTGTCTAGAAAAGCCATATATAAGTTCAATGCATTATTATGATCTTTTTTAATACCAAGGTTACCGTTTATCTTCTTAGAAGCATCTAAAGTATTCCCATTCATTCGTCAGAGTTGAAAAGACTTCTGTTGAAGTCGAAGTAACAAATCAGCTTCACCCAGCATGATGGTGTAATTAATCTGGAGAGGTCTTTGTGAAAACTTTGAGCTACGCCTGCCAAACTAGCAAACATGTGGCGTGTCTCAGGGAGGACAATTTTTAACCAATGAGGACCATGTCCTCCCATGTGTATAGTAGTGTATAGTGGGTGTAGTGACCTCAGACATTTAGATATTTTTATTGCTACAATCTTCAAAATTGAAGAAAAAGAAAACATTTTGATTCCTTATGAAATGTAAAACATATGAAGTTTAGACAGTCTCTGCTCAGAAATTATAAACTGACTAAACTGATAAGAAATGATGAGCTGATGATTAGGGATCAGAATGAAATTATTCAGAATTTCGATGAAACACAGGAAAACATATGAAGCGTTGTAATGATCTTCTTTGAACATCTTAGGTGTGTTCTTGCTGTGTCGCACCTCTAATTCCATGCTGCAGTTCTTAGCGGGAAAACAGATAAACAAAACTGCTCTGTGTTTTAAAAAAGAACTACAGCATGGAGGTGTAATGATCTGTAAATTGTTATTGTTGTGATCAGAGAAAATCAGTTTGTGGTTTTTAGGAATTTTTTTATGACATGGGCGGTTATTACGTTCAACAATTTTAAGTTTTTCATGAAATTAGAGTAGCGAGACTATTTTTGAAATGCAAGTAGAAGTAAAAAGTAAGCTAATAGATGATTACTCCAGAAATGTCTACTCGACACTTAAACTTAAGGTAAAGTATTTGTACTTTGCTACTTGAAGTGACGGTGTGTATTTTTCCTGGTGATAGGGGGCAGTACAAACCTAAATCATTGCAAGCAAGCAGTATTTTTGTGTTCAAGTAAGACCTTACCAATGGAAATCCATTAGGGTCAAAAATCCCTGATCACAACCTTCAGCAAAACAACAAGAACATCAGACTCCCTTTCATCACTGGCAACGAGTGAAGAGGTAAATGTGTAAAACGTTCATGAATGGTGAAAGTTTTGTAACCGTTTGTTACAAAGCAGTAAATGCATTATGTCCTCACGGGCTCCCGTAGAAGGAAATATGGCATCGCCCGGAAACTTAGACCAACTCCCGTGTATTTTAGACCCAATTTTTATGGTTATAAGTAGGGCTGCACAATATATCGCAAATATATAATTATCGCGAAATCAGCAAGTGTAATATGCATATTGCAAAGAGCAGATAAATATCAAAATGGTCAGCCCAGATGTTTGCTACACATAATGCATTCTGTCAGTCATACAGAAGCATGATGTTTTTTTAACAAATCAAATGGAGCTCTTCACCCATTTGGCCAATTGGGTGGGTTCTCATAGGTTAGATGCCCGCCCCCGACACTTAATTTTGATGATTAGCAAACACTTGAGTTAGCTTTGTTCAGCTCTTCCTGCTTTTCCCAGGATTCACCGATTGCCTTTTCATGTTAATTTTCTTTTTCCCTTTCCCTACATCTGTAGCTTTTCTCATTTTTATGATTATTTTGGTCATTTTTTAAAATTTCTTCGTTTTTGATCATTTTTGTTCCCGAGTTAAGTTTTTATTCATCGCAAGTAGTATCGTCATCGCAATATTAATCACGGTTATCGCATATCGCAGGTTTTCTTAATATCATGCAGCCCTAGTTATAAGTTAAGAAGAAGCCAATATTTTCAACAACTGAACTGGGCATAATTTAATTCATTTTCAACATTTCAATGGTTATGTCTAAAGGTTAATGGTAAAAAACTTCATATTGTCTCTTAGTTATTCTCGGCAAGTTTTACAGTCACCTATTTTCATAAATGCATCACGCTCACATCTCCTTATCAAAGCTTACTGATGAACACGTTTCTTATTTCCCAGGTGGTTCAGGTATCTTCTAGCAGGAAGAAGAGACAATCCAAAACCCTCAGATTGATAAATATTCATGTGTAGCACCACTGAAGCCAGTCTTTGTTTTAATAACGAGTCCATCTCTACATCAGCTGAGTTGAAACTTTTAATAACTAAAGATAGAAACTTTTAAATCAACTGAAACATGTTTTTATACATGTGAACATTTTCACAACTGAATTCTTTCATGATGGGTTTGAAATGAAAGAAAGTTCTGCTCCAGAGAGTGCCGAATACTGACGGGCTGAAGCCCACGCGGGGCTGAGTTGTAACATTTAACCAAAGATGAACACTTTTAAATTGGCTCTTGCATTTTCTACATATAAACACTTATTACAGGTATAAACGGTAAAAGGCATTTAACTATTTCTGTCATGATAAGCTGAAAGAAAAAACAACATCCTGCACCGGAGAACAAAGACGAAACCTAAAATAAAAGTTCTTTAGTCTTTATTATTGCAGTCTTCTGCTCTGGCATGGACTTGTTTTCAGGAGTCCTCCCAGTCCTCCATTAGGCCGGCCTCATCCAGGCCATCGTCTGCAGAGAAAGACCTCTGGAACATCTCCATGATGCTCTTCTGCTTTGGATCCTAGACAAACCCAAATAAAAAGGTTTATACCTAAACCTACACAGGGCCAAACATGCAGCTGATTAAAGAAAAGGTAGAAAACGAACCTTTGAGTGGAAGCTGGTGTTCTCAGCCTTGTCTGAGAGGTTAGACTCAGACAACCCCACTTGCTCCAGGACGTTCATCTTCGCCTGGATCATTGGCCTGGATAAAGACGGGAACCAAAACAAAAAGCTCTCCTTTGTGCTGTTTTAATTTTAGCTTAAGGAACAATAAAATATATAATATTAACATTTTGTTTTAGTTATACGTTGCTTCCACCTGATAGACATACCATAGGTGATCATCAGCGGTTCCTTTAGCAACCAGGTAGTGAACGTCCACATTACTAGTCTGTCCAATACGATGAACCCTGTCCTCTGCCTGAATGAGAACCTGCAGAAAGTAAAAATATTATTAGTTTAACTGTATTTTCCACCTTTTTGTTGTCTGTTTTCATTTCCAGCAGCAAGAACCCAGTTTTTCATAATTTATTACCAATTAATATGTGAGTACTGATTTTTACAAAAGCACCATTTATCCATTTTTAACACCAAAAGACAACAACACATCTAACCGTTAACAGATGCACATTATAAAAGAGATTTAGCAAAAATGACAAGAGCATTTGCAAATATTTTAGATTAACGTGACTAGAGGAGCTAAATTCCACCCAGAGAAGTTGAATCTTTTGCTCCGACAGCTCCCCGTAGCTCACCCCTGGGTTCCAGGAAAGCTCAGCGAAGACCACCAGGTCTGCGGAGTGCAGGGTGAGCCCCATGTTGGCTGCGGTTATGGACAGGACGGCCACACACACGTTGGAGGAGAACTGGAAGTGTTCACACAGCTGATGTCTCTCTGCAGACGGAGTCGACCCGTCGATGCGGATGAAGCCGACATCCTGTTAGCAACATCAAAGCGGGTAAAGCTCCCCTCACGTCAAAATAATGATCAAACCTGTTGTTACCTTTTTCACCAGTTCAGCAACAATGTGATCCAGAACCAACTTGTGATGCGCGAACACGAGGAACTTCTGCCTCCCACACTCCAACATGTCTGTGATGTAGTCCCTGATCGGGACAGAAACGTTAGAAAACGTGTGAAGTCCTTAAAGAGCAAGTCACCCCCCAAAAACTTTTTTTTGCTGATAAACTAAATTAACGAGTGTCTAATCGTGCTGCAGACACGTGTTGTCAATAATTTGGCACTTCAGTACATCTTAGTTAAAATTTAAATATTCTGCCTAAAACTGGCAGTGTTGTGCCGTTGTCAGGTAAAAACTCTGCACTGTATTTTAATTTAAATCTGCCACCGCTATTGGCTAAGAGGTATGCTATGATGTAAACTGGTACATTATGATGTCACAATGCTGTCGTGAGCCTGTGTGTGTATGTGTGTATTTGTTAGCAGCTCCGCCTTCTCGGTCTGCCAGGCAACAGCATTTGTTGCATTTTTCAAACATGAAGTGGGAGTGGAGTTAGACTCTGGTAGGGGGTTACTTGCTCTTTAATTCCCTCAAACCCAGTGAGAGCAAACAAAAAGATCTTGGTTCAGTCTTCAGTCCCATCAACTGATTTGACTCAATCATCCCCGACATTGGGGGGGTCGTACTTACATGATGGCGTGCAATTTGGCTTCGGCTGTGTGGTTATAAAAGACGAGCAGGGCCTCCTTCTCCTCCGTTTTCTGAACACGAGATAAAGAACGACACGAGATAAGAACCGACAGCCGATTCTGTTTGATGATTTGATACGACCGCCATTACTTTGATGAGCGCTGTGATTATGCACAATCATGCTCTGTAACGCGCTCCCATTAGAGAATAAGGCTGGACTGGAGTACTTGGAGTCACTCAAAGGCAATTTTAAAAGCTGATATCTGAGCCAAAGTCTTTATGTGGAGAGATAAACCAAACATCTCATTTATTTGGCCTAAAAAGGTGTGAAGAAAAAGTGTTGATTATCAGATTATGAGCAGACTGTAACGGTTAACAATGTGTCTGCATCTTTAGGAAAGGCCAATTTAATAGGATCAAAGACCTTACATTACCAGAATGATGAAGGGGTGTGACCACCTTACAAATAGTTACTGATTTAGAACTGAAAGTGCTGAAAATAACAGAGACATCAAGACAATTGCTCTGCAGAGTGAATTTTACAAAAAACAATGTAAAACCACCAAACCTCCACATGGCGCCCACTAGCTAAAGTGGCTAACTTTAGGTGGATTCACTCATGTCTCATACAAAAAATCAAAACAGCAATTAGAAATGAGCAAAACTCTTATTAAAACTTTCAAAATAAAATAAATTAATCTTGTTTATTGGGTCTGTGTTTTTAAGACCTTTCAGATTCTGGATTTAAGGATTATTTGTTGTTTTTAAGGGTTTTAAGGACCTTAATTAAGGAAAATCTAAGCTTTGGCTCTTTAAGAATCTGCAGATGTTTTGATGAAGCTGATATTTAACAAAAAGATGAGAATAATCTGTGATCTGACAGATTGGGACGAAAAAATGATTCTAGAGATTAAATTATTCTTAGAAAGAAGAAAGAAAAGTGCCATACGCTTCGATGACATCTGGTTAACTCCTTGGCTGCGGCTGTGAGAGCAGTTTTTGTACGACTGCTGATCCCGTCCAGGGTCATCGTGACCACCTTGCGCTGTTTGGCGGGAAGCTGGGAGAGGACGTCAGACTTGAGGCGACGCAGCATCAGACACTCCTCCAACAGCAGCTTTAACTCGCCGAGATTAGACGAGCCTGAATAATCCCAGCCCCAATCGTTCTGCAGGTGATGGAAGCAAAAATAAAAATAAAGACGCCTGAACAGATGGGGAACAAATTATTACCTTTAAGCATAAAAGCTGGACAAAGGAGGATTTCACAGACTTCAGTTACCTGATGGGCATCACAGTAACGCACTCCGAACTCATGCAAGCGAGGGAAAAGTGAAGGTTTGACAGCCAGAATCTGAGTGTACAGCTCACTGGGTCTGGACATCGCAGGAGTCCCGGACAGAAGGATCACCCTCTTGGCTGCCTGAGGACAAAAATCGAAGAAGCAAGGCACTTTTTGTTCTCCTGTGTTGGTTTAAACGTACAGAATATCCTCAAATCTAAGCAAAATGTATAATTCAGATAGCTTAGGGCCTTTCTGACAATCCATTATGCTCAAAATGGGTTTTTAAATTACTTATAAGACAACCTTACTTACAAAAATGTAGCTCCCTCCACCCAAAACGTCAGTTTTTATGAGCAGATATAAAGTTCTGCAGCAAATCTGTCTGTTTTTATTATTACCTTCAGCAGAGGCAAGGCTGCTTTACACCGAGCCGTCTTCATGTTCTTTAGAAAGTGAGACTCGTCCTGCGTGGGGGGGGGGGGGGGGGGGGGCACAGACGCGTATTTTAAAGAGTAAATTGAAATGATTAGATTAACCCATCGTGTTTGAACATTAGCTCACCATAATGAGGACGTTAAAGAGGGTTCCTGCCTGCTGCTTCTGGCTCATCCGGCTCAGCAGGTCGTAGCTGATGATGTTGACCAAACCACAGCGCATATCGTCGCTGGCCTTTACCACCACATTGATGCTGTCGGGACTCAGGGAGGGGAGCCAGCGTCTGAAGGCCTACAGCCAGGAATCAGATGGAGAGACTTGAAGCAAACACCTCAGAGTAGCTGCTCTGATCGTCCTGATTTAGTCCACCTCTTGGTAAAAACAAGTTTCTACATTTTACCCGTTAACTACCGGCAGGCATTAACACTGGGGATTGCTGTAAAGTATCTGACACAAGTCAGTGACTCGATGCAATCTGCTGGGTTTCCTTACATGTGAATCGTTTTACTGATCAGCTTAATGAACTGAACTCAGTTGGAATATTCGACATGACTCTCGTCGTAATTTGGCGTTATATAAATCCACTGTGGCCCAGAAGCTCCTGACATCTCATTTCCCCTCTCGCCTTTTCCTCATCAGCCTGTTTTAAAGCAACACTAAAGAGTTTTTAACACTTTCTGCTATTGCTTTCAAACTGGTTTCAGTGGTTCTTGAGCCAGAAACTTGAGCAGCTTCACGTGGACGGCACTCTGCTGACAAGAAACTGAACCTAACAGTTATGTGGTTCGGGCAGGAACAGTAGTGGGAGGTATCTACCTGCTTTACAACTATAACGGTTTTCAATGCCTTTAGCTAAAATAAAGGCTAGCAGCTAGCTTTTTTTGTTTGCTAACCATCAATAAAAGCACAAGACAAAGAAGTTTGCCTTCTTCGTTGGAATAATGGCAAAGCTGGAAGTAAAGGTAAGAGAGTAATGTCTTGGGAGGCAAAGCAAAGAGCTAAAACCAAAGTGAACACCGGCGTCGCCTACACTCATTTCAGGGAGCTGAAGGAGACTACAAAATCACGGACTGATGGTGACCTGGCTTTGTTGCTATCAGACTTGTAAATAGTAATGTTTTTACGTTCAACAGTGTGGATCTTTCACTTTGTGACTTATTTAGCATCTGTTGGCTCATGCAGTGCCATTTACAACTGTTGCAATTATTTTTTCCAACCAGTAGGGGGAGAAGCAGGAAATGTATTAGGTGTTAGTTTGAAAACACTGAGGTATAGCTCCTATGATCTGCTGTACTCAAAGGCACAAGACTAACGGTCCAAATAAGAGCAAAGCCCGACAAAGTAAGGGTTGTTTTTAAGGAGACGACACTCTGTGCTGAACGTGTCTCTGATCTCAACTCCTGGCTGGGTTTTCATCAAAGACATGTGGAGAACAGAACTTCTTGTAAACAAAGCTCTTCTATATGCGGCTGGAAGTACTGGTACTGGGCATGCCAAACATGATTTTTAATCAAAACAATCAATAACACCTCCTAATTAAAGCTTCTTTCTGGAGTATTTCTCTTATCTAATGGCACCATCTGGTGGCTGACAAGCATATCACACAAAACCGCTGTTCCTCTGTTTTTGTAAGATGGCGACTTCACGTTTCTGTTTATAAATGTGATTCTGTAGCCGACAAACAGAGCTAAAACACGTTTGTCATGTTGTGCTTTCATATATTTATATTTTAGAGACTTTCTTGTCCGTGAAAAGTTCATCAACTCTGCATCAGCCGAGGTATTCCTTAAATGTGAAGCATCTAAGAGGTAGTCTAACGCTATTGGTTAGTTCTGGTCGGTGCTCAGTTTCCTATTGCACGGAGCTCTGCCGGGCAGGGGGCGTGCTTAGCAAAAAAAAAAAAAGACGTATTGCTTTTATTATATCACAGTACATGACAAGATAATCACTTTTACGGATTTCTGACAAATCATACATAATTTCTGAAAGAGGAAAACTCCGTAAAGCAGCTTTAATAACTCTGGATTGATCTGCTAAAAGTTTTTACCTCAGCCCAAGTGAATCGGACAGAGGATGGAGCCACCACCAATATAGGCCACTCGTTCCTGTAATAAGCTGCTATGCAGATGGCCTGCAACGTCTTTCCCAGGCCCATGTCATCAGCCAGGAGGAGGCGACCTTGTTTAGACACCGCAAAGCTGCATAAAAACATTCAAAACCAAAGCTCACCATCAAGGTCTCTTAATTAAGAGATTCCATCACAGGAAATGTCGCATAATTATGAAATTACACTTTGCACAAGGCAAAAATATTTTTTTTTAATTGTTGCTTAGTGTTGATTATTGGTGACAGAATGCAGAGGGAGCAATAATGGCTGCCCAGAGACACCTACTTGACTCCCTCTTTCTGGAAGGGCATGAGGCTGGAGGTGAGTATGGGGTCGATGCTCGAAAGGTCTGCCTCAGGGACAGCTAAAGACCTGGCCTCTTTCCCATCAAAACTGGCAGAGAAAACCTGGATTACTGCCCTGGGAAGAGGCTCCACCTCCACTGCTGTTATCCCACTGAGGAGATCCACTGAGTAAAGAACACGGCTCGGTTAGACAAGATGGCAAATGTGACCAAGACAAAGAAAAATGACTTAAAAACGCCTCTCTCACTCAGTTTCCCATAATCCTCAAGAGAAAAGCTCCACTTTCTTGTGGCCAGGTCTGCAACGTAAGCAAATAATTAAAGTTAACTGCATCAGAAGTAAACCACAATATGGATTAGCAACAGTTTGTTACCGTAGCTTTTGGATGGCATTTGCTTAAATGCTGCAATGACGTCGACATTGTAGGAAATGTCCACCTCAAATTTTGTGCGGGACACCAGGACGCACCGGCCCTTCAAAGTGGCACCGGGTTTCTTCCAACTGCTAGAAAGACTCAGGAGCGCCGACAGAGCTGCGCCGTCACAAGATCGGCTGGAGGTTGCTACGGCTGCCGCCCCCTCCAGTGGCCTCAAAGACACAGAAGGAATGGAAGCTGCCTGCTTCACTGAAGCGCAAGTGTCAACAAGATAATAGTCACAAATGATGCTTTTAAATTATGCATTTTCATCTGGATAAGATTTACAAAACATTCATACTCAGCAGTCCATAGTCAGCCAAACTGAAGTTCCATTTTTTTGTGGCTGGGTCTAAGACAGAAAGTAGAGCACAAACATAAGAACACCACTGAAATAAAAATGAGAAATACTGCAAGCAGTTGAGTAAGAAGGGAAATTAGAGGTTTGAAAACTAAAGACACTTAAGGCTGAATGTAATCAATACAGAAATAATAGATGGTGCTCAACTCAATTTAAACATCCTTGAATTTCCCTCTGGGATTAATAAAGTATTATTGAATTGAATTGAATATATTCAGTTTGACGATGTGATCACAAATTGAAATTGCATTTCTTGATAACCTCCCTCAAGAGTCTCAACTGCGAGGCTGGCTGCACTTGGCAGAACGTACCAAAGTTCCTGGATGGGATGGATCTGAAAGCAGCAATAAGCTCTGCGTGATAGCCCACCTCCACCCTGAAACGGTTCTCTGCATGAGGCACACACTGCCCTCTCACAAAGATGGCAGGCTTTTTTGCAGGCACAGCGGTCAAGGTGGCAGAACCTGAAGGAAGTTGTGGTGCAGGAACTTGTGCAGGTTTGTTGGCTTGCTTGTAAAATGAGATTCCAGGGTTTCCTGAGGCATGGTTGGACTTGGGCTGAGCGGATTTGACATCAAAACTTCCTCCACCAGACAACACAGAGCTATTTACATGCTGACTAGTCTGATGATACTGGCCTGTGACCTGAATATATAAATAAACACAATACAAAGCATTACAATAGCGTAAATCGATATATACGATAACTAGATGTCCAAAACATAAACAAATGCAACATTTAGGAGACTAAGAATACAAATTAAATGTAGTTTATTCTATTTTACCTTACTGCTGCATGCCCCAGACAGCAGCTGAGGGTTTGGTTGGGGGATCTGGTTACTGAAGCTCTGTGAATCTTTTTTAATGGGTGGGACAAACCGTGCTTGAGCAGAATTGAAGGTCTGATCAGCAGAAACCATGGAGACGCTCTGTGTAGGAAGCTGAGGTTGCACTGAAGGCTGCTTACTGCTGCTAACAGTTTGTCCGAGTCTTTGGGCTCTTCGCTTTAAAGCTTTCCGTCTGTTCTCCTCAATCTTTCGCTTCTGCTCCGCAGTCAGCTGATTAGACATGTTTAAGGACGTCTCTGCTGGTGATAAACCAGAACGAACTCAGGCGACTGATAAACAGTTAGCTAACTCCTCTTAACTGTAGAAGCTAACGACGCTAGTCTTGTCAACAAATCAAATTAAATAAGAAAACATTTCTGTTGTGTCGAGCGATGTTACCAAGATGCAAGCCTCCAGCTTTTGTGGCTCAGATGGGCAATGGTGTGAATTAAAAATGACAAAAACAGTTTAATTTGAACAAAAAAGAAAGCCAAAACACCTACAGGGAGGTGCTTTGCTAGTTACGTTAGTTTTAGGAACTACCGCGCAGGAAGTGACGTACAAAAACAAGGTTGCGCCACTTCCGGGCAGAACGTTATAAAAGCGCAGGTAGGAATTTTAATTGGATATAAAGCAATAAACTGATTTAAAAGATGACCAGAATAGATTTATACAAAACAGTTTCTTTTAAAAATGGAGACATGCTTTCTTTGACATTGAATGTGCTTCTACTAGTTTACCCGTTTGATTACAGATTCACTAGGATAAATACAATAAAGTTTATCTCTCACCAAATACAATATTTACTAAGAAATCATAATGTACCCATAGAAACGTTACTTGGTATATATGTTGTGTGTGTGTATGTGTGTGTATGTGTGCGTGCGTGCGTGCGTGCGTGCGTGTGTGTGCGTGTGTGTGTGTGTGTGTGTGTGTGTGTGTGTGTGCGTGTGTGTGTGTGTGTGTGTGTGTGTGTGTGTGTTGGTGTATGCGTGTGTCTGCTCTGTCTTCTCGATCCCCAGTGAGTCGTGGAGGATGGCTGCTTGTACTGAGCCAGGATCCTCTGGAGGTTTCTTCCTGTTAAAAGGGAGTTTTCCTCTCCACTGTCGCTAAATGTTTTTTCTGATTGGCTAATGAACTGACCTGTATCGGAATGTTTGCTATGTGAAGTACCTTGAGACGACTCTTGTCGTGATGTGGTGCTATATAAATAAACTTGAATTAAATTAAAACTTTGTGTTTTTAAAGTGACTCTTGTCAAGTAATGTGACCACATGTACAGTAGCTGCACTATTTTAAATCCTGTCATATTTAATCCTAAATGGTTAAGCAACTATTGCAAGAGAAATGAGATACATTATGTTTTTAAACAGCATGTCACCCCTAAACCAAACTTTTTTGCTGATAAACTGTATAAATGAGTGTCTAATAGTACTGTAGTCAGTATTTGGTACATCTACTGCATACTTTTTTTTAACCCAAATCTTTGGTTTTCTTATTTTTTTAACTCATTTTTGTAATAATCTTTCAGTTGTTTTATATTTATGATAATTTATAATTTCATGACTTTGTTTTCTGATTTTAATTTATTTCTGTTTTTGATCTACCTGTATGTGAAGCGCTTTGTGATTCTCTTCTGTGCCAAATGCTATACAAATAAAATGTACTTACTACATCTTCTGCCTGAAACAGTCAGCATTTTGCCCTCTTCAGGTTAAAACTCTGCTCTGTATTGAATTTGACTCAGCCATTGCTGTTGGATAAAGCAGTACATCATGACATAGTTAGTACAACATGACTGCTCCACTCCCACTTTGGAGTATAGGCATGTTGAAAGTTATGTTTTCATCTGGGTAATAGCACACATGCACACAACACTGGAGAGCAAAAAGAGCTTCCACACCCATTATGCAGAGCAGTTCCACGCTATCAAATCTAACAAAATAAAACCTATGAATTTAGATATTACATTTAATACGTCTTTGTGCAGAAGATAAAAAAGATACACCTCAACATTAATAGTGTTTCATGCAAAGGTTCCAGATCTGTTTGAAATAGCTAACAAGCTGAGGGACAACAGTCCTCAGAACTGGCCGCCAGTTCAGCGTGGGGATACCTCCAATTTTGTGAGGAACTTGCCTGGACTTCACCCAGCTGAAGCAAGCCAGAAGCTGGGGAGCAGGACAGTGTGCCTAAAGAAGCAGCCTGCAAAAAGTTCAAGATCTACCAGTAAAAGGAGGACACACTCTGACTTTTTTTTATTGTCAATAAAATAAAACATTTTCATGAAATCCCCCCTGCATAAAGTAATTTCAGCAGTTTTATTCTGGACATTTTTCAGCACCTTCCAGAATGGGCCGTTTCAGGGCTCTGTATCTTTATGAAAACAAGCTGGAGCTGGCTATGCTGACCCATCCCCCATTCAGGCTGCTATGGGCTGAGAAGCTCTGATATCTTGGAGGGGCTCTGAGTAGAGCCGCAGGTGAAAGAGGTTTTCTGCCTTCAGATTCTTTTAAAATCACATTTTTCTTTGACATTTACATACGCTTGTTTTCTGTTACCTTTAACTCATTCACTGCCAGCCGTTTCCTGATCGCTAACGGCCTTCGCTGCCAGCGTTTCTCACCGTTTTTACTGTTTTTTAAGAGTCACAGAACGTTGCGCGCTAGGATTATGTTGATGCCAAAACAACCAAAACAAAGCGGAGACTCGCCTCTTACATCAGGAAGAATCCGCGTGTTTCGAGCGTTATCCGTTCTTTCATATTCCGTTGTTGAATTGTGATCGGCAGACGCTTTTCCGGTTCGCGCCTCACTTTTTTTACAGGAACGGCCCAAAACGATCTCCTAATACATGGATGTGTTGCTTCATGTGACGTGTGACGTATGCGGATGAAGATCGGCTTCAGGGCTGAGATGTTTGTTCTCTCAGCGCAGTGGCTCGTTCCGATGCTAAAACAGTAAAAAAAAATGCAAATGACGACTTTAGTCGTCAATGGCAGTGAATGAGTTAAAATAGTTTTTTTAAACAGTCAGATTTCATTTTGTATATTTTGAATGGGTAAAAAAACTCGAATACATATTCATATGAAAGAAAATCTCATTAATATTTCAAATTCAACTGAAATACCTATGCTCTCTGAATGTTTGAATGTTTCCTTTATTAATTAATTTTAGTTTGGCAAAGGTCGGAGTGCATGCAGCATTCTGTACATTGTTGTATTGCACTATAAATTGTTTTTTTGGACAACGATTGGTCAAAAAAAGCTATTTGTCTTCAGTAAATAAAATGATAAAATAAAACATTAAAGCAATATTTGGGTAAATACATTTCTGAGAGACAAAAAATGAACACAAATGATCTCAAGTGCTGAATATTTATTGAAATGTCAGGATGTAGGGCCACTATAATGGTATTGTGTGATAATTAGCTGCGTGCTGCTGCGGTTGGCTTATTTTCAGCACCTCTCTGATCACTTGAGACGCTATCTAAGAGCGATCAGTCGCAATTTGCTGCTAGAATAGAAAACCAGCAGGGGTGAGAGCTCAATGTGGCAGTTTAAAGTTGGCAATTCATTAATGCTTACACCATGACCACAATCCTGCTGCAGTCGCATATGCATTTTTACAAACAACAAGAAGGAATGCACTTCTGCTGGCTCAGAGTGGCTGCAGGTGTTCAAATCCAGGATTCAGTCGTGGCACACAGCTGCCCTGTTGAAACAGTGTATTAGTCTCCCACTGATTCTGCCCATTTTTTCCTGCTCTTTTACTTAATAACCCAAGTTTCAACAAAAGAATAAAGATTTTAACCTATACTTTCAGAAATGTTTGGAGATTTATAAAAGCAGGAACTCTTTTGCTTATATGTTCATGTTGTTGTAAACACATGAGCAAATCTGCGTCGGTCTAAATAAGAGCATGATCTCCCTCCACATGCCTTAAACAGAATAAAACACATCTATGATAGGTCAGGTGATGTTTCAGAAATATGGAGCGAGTGTGTTTGCATCTTGTTGATCAGAGTGACGAATTGGCGATTTCTGCAGGGCATCACCTCCCTCATGAAGATGTGGGGCAAAAGAAAACCTTTATGAAATTAATGGTCTATAGAAACCTGTGCAGGGTTGAATATTGTGCCAAATGCAATTTTATGTCAGCATGAAATTTATTCTGCTAGGAAGTAATTGATTGAAAAATATGAAACCAAATGAATCCTTTTGACTTTTACAGCCTCACATTTGTTATACATATCAGCTTAGTTTTAGTCCCGGTTGGCTATTAGTAAAGACCTATTCTTACTTTTTAAATGCTTTTATTACTTGAAGATGACATGAAAGCAGATACAAATGTCACTATAAAAACACAGATGCAAGGATCACATTTTTCAAATCTAAACCAGAGTGTCCAAAATGTTCATGTTCATGAATCTCATGGGCCAATTTTTATTTGTTTTTTAAACAAAGTCAGGGCTGCACAGTGGCACAGTGCTTAGCGCTGTTGCCTTGCATGCAGCAACAAGGTTCTGGGTTCACATCCTGGTCTGGGGTCTTTCTGCAAGGAGTTTGTATGTTCTCCCTGTGCGTGTGTGGATTCTCTCTGGGTACTCCGGCTCCGGCTTACTACCACGGTCCAAAAACTGTCAGGTCAATTGGTGTTTTCTAATTTGTCCTTAGGGGTGTGTGTGTGTGTGTGTGTGTGTGTGTGTGTGTGTGTGTGTGTGCGTGCTTGATTGTTTGTCCTGTGTGTTTATGTGTTGCCCTGCAACGGACTGGCAACCTGTCCAGGGTGTATGCCGCCTGCCTGCCTAAAGACAGCTGGAGATAGGCACCAGCCCCCCTGCAAACCTGCGACCCTGTGTGAATAATCGGGTACAGAAAATGGATGAAAAAAATGCAAACATTGTTTCATTGTCATTTTTTTAACTTGCACTCAAAATAGATCTAAAATAATGCTAATTATACTAATCTAAATACAAAATGTCAGCAATTTACAATTAATTCACAAGAGACTAAATTCATGCATGTATGGGGTCATTAACACATCACTTCAAGTCTGTCAATGGCGCCCGGGCCACACTTTGGATATCCTTGATTATCATTCAGCAAAATCTGATCAGATAATAACTTATTGTGTTCAGATATGCATATAAATAATACATATTTGAATGTGTAGGGTTATTATTAGCTCAATATGTAAAAAAAAGCAATATTTGGAAATGTTTTTATTTTTCAAAACATCATATAAATAATATTAAAATCGCTTTTTTCCCTGTTTGACTGAGAAATTATTTCAACAATAGTACGTTTGTATGGTACATTTCAAACACAAAGGCAATTCAAAGTGATTTAATGAAGCAAGGACATTAAACACAATACATCAAACAAAGAAATGCTCCTTTCAGATTCAAGAGATATGTTTTAGTACATTTCTGATTTGTATAATAATGAATAACAACATGGAATCTGCTTTATAGAAAATATAATTGACTCAGATCCATTTCAGTTGTTCCCCTTTTAATTTCATCAAATAACCCTGCAGGGTTAAAAGTCACAGTTGTTCACTAGTGTGATTAGGAGGCGCCTCCCCCTTTAAAAGTCTTACATTTTGAACCAGTCAATTATCCGTGTGTTCCTGTGAAGTAATGAGCTGGCTGCTTGCATCACTGTGCGGCGGTGACGTGCAGCGTCTGGGAGCTGTCCCAGGAATCATGGTGCTGAAGCTGCAGCACCGAGCCAGCAGCCAATGATCACCGGAGAATCAATCCGGGGCTACGGATGCCTTCAAGCCGGACCAGGACAGTCCGACGCCCGTGCTGGATCCTTACTGGATGGATTCAAACCTCCCCGGATATGAAGATGCGATGACTTGTGATTGAAAACCTCTCGGAAACGAATCTGGGGGAGAAAATAAACACAGAAACAGGGAATCGCACAGAAATCGAGCTAAGCAGGTAAGACTGGATTCGCTTCCCAACATGGCACGACATCACTGACTTAATAAAGCTGTCGACAAGAACCTGCGCTCCTCTGATAAAAAAACAACAACATTTTGTCTTTATTAAATGTGCATTTTTTAATTACAATAGCTTTCGTTGTAGCTCGTTGCACCAGACAGGTTTAAATCATCTCGCTGTGAATGTGAGGAGGGGTGGGGGCTGTCTGGATAGTTTATTTTATAGCACGCTGAGCATTAAGGCCATGAAATGACAGCGAACTAACCTACAGACTTGTTACTTGAATTCTCACTCCCATCAGTCTAACATTTGCTTCCCTCTTTCAGCTGCTTCGTTTAGTGAACTTAATGGCTTCAGACACTTGTTTGCATCCATGGGATTTATTGGATTTTTCAGTTTTCATCTTTCTGGGAAGAAAATAAGAGACACGCCTGGATTATTAGTGACACGTTGAACTGCCAAATAAACCTGAAAAGGCTGTTTTGAACCGAAAAACGCCCAGATTCCCCCCGCAGCGACACGCCAAGAAGTGTCTTCTTATGAAGGGGGTGCAAACAGCTCACGTCTTCCAGCACCTTTGTGTGGAGCGGCTGCTGTGATCTTCTGGCCGGAAACAGCCCGATGCTGCGCAGCCGGGGAATGCTGAAGAGCCGCTGCTGCGTCCTGCTTGGCGACCTGAGGGTGCTCCTTCTCGGGCCACCGGCACCGCAGACACCGCTGCCTCAACTGACCCCCATGAGCGGCCAAGCGTCCGAGAGCCATGAGGCGAGCGTTACAGTGCCCGACAACAACAACACGTTGACCCGGAACCACGCGGGCGCGTCTGCCGTCGGGGCTCCGGGCGCGGAGCGACCGGTGTCGGGCTGGGTGGATGCTGCAGAGCTGTCGGCGGCTCTGCGCGGCTGCAGCAGCTCCTCTGATGACTGCTCAAAGGGAAAACTGGAGGAGAGGTTCTCTCTCACCAGCTACACGGAAAGTGGCTTCAGGACACCCGTGTGCAGGATCTGTTTCCAGGGACCAGAACATGTAAGTCACAAAAGGCTTTAGTCAGAAAGCACATCTCACCTTTTGATCTATCAGCCAAGGTGGGCCCAACAGGTTTGGTCCCACAAAGATTTTAATGGCTTCTTAATAGGTTTTTTAGAGGCTCCCAGATGGTTATTCATACATGGGCCTGGTAAAATATCTGTGGGCAAACACTCATAGACCATGGACAAAAATCATTGTCCAAAATGCAGTCGGAGGGCCATTTGCGGCCCACTATTTGCATAGAATGGTGAATTCTGTTTCTTTATTTGACTGACACTTTCCAACATTTTTATGTTCAGATTTTCATATTTTAGAACTTTTTAAGAAGTACAAGATTTATTTTTGCATTTCTTTTAACAAAAAAAATCACATTTCAGTGACCTGCAAAGCTCATTCACTTGACAATGCTGTGGCTATAGTCTTTTTTTTTTCGTGTCCTGTCTGGCTGTGAAGCAAACAGAATTAATGTTTGAATGCTGCGACAAGCCTTTCAGATTTACTCTCAGGTGGAGCATCAAAGCGTCTGCTTTAAATGTCACGCCTGATACTTAAAACTTTATTTTTATTTTTTTATTTTTATTCTTTTGAATGCTTGTAATTCACGGAGACAGAGGTGAAAGAGAAAGGAAGAGACGGGGGGGGGGGGGGGTTTCCACAAAAATAAACAATCAATGATGAACAAGACTGCTTCTAGACCTGCAACAGGAGAAAGAAAGAAAAAAAGAAAAGGGACACACAGCAATACATCAGGAGCAAGCTATCACTGTGTCAGCTTGATGCAGAAATGTAAAATCAACACTGTTTTACTGAACAATCACGATAATAATTCACAGTGCATTAAGTGCCAACCACAGCCGACATGTGTTGAACGTTCCCAAGTCCATACTTATGAGAGCACCATGTGAGCACCTGTGTGCGTAGAGAGTGTGAGGGACCACAGATCTGCCCCCCAAAGATGCATAAGAGATGGAGGGAGCTCCAAGTCTCAGAGATCCAGGAGCTGCCCCAGAGCACAGGGACCCCAGGGAGACTGCGACCAGAAAAGCCCCCGCCCCCCTCGAGAGGCACAGAGGATCGCCTCGGGGGGGCCACAATCAGCAGCCGGCAGAGTCCCGGGGGATATCAGCGGCAAGCCCACAGGCCTGCCCGCAGCCTCCCATCCCCAAGCCGGCCAAGCCCGGAACCCAGCGACCCAGGATCCAGGGATGACCAGCCTTGCTGGGGACCCAACAGAGCCCAGGGACTCAGGTCCCACCAGGCAGCCACCGGGATTAATCAGGCAGACGCCAAAAATCTTAAACCCCCTGACCCGGGAGCCACGAACACTCCGGCAGACCAAGGCACCACACTCCACACCAAGTGTGACAGGGGGAGGGGAGGCGAAGATGCATAGCAGCAAAAGAAGTCCCAGGAGAGGGGAGGAGTCAAAGACCCCACCTGACATATACAGTCATACACAAACACAGTCACACACTCCCTCCCTCCCTCATGCTCACACATGCACATACAACCTAAAACGTACAAAAATGCACTCCTGACACCAACTCATACTCCCCATACACACCCTATTCACTCTGGTCCTGGTACTGCTGCACAAAGGGGACAACCATCACTGGTTCCCAGAGTTCAACCCTTTCTGCTGGGGTGCTAATGAGCAGGCTCCCCCGCCCAACGCCGAGCAAAGCGACCCACCATCCTAGACCCCAGCCAGATGGCCAGATCCCCCTCCTAGACTCCAGCCCTGGGAAGCCAAGCAACAACAGAGGTGTGCTAAGACCCCTGGTCTCCCTCCGCCTGCTCCAATACTATAGTGTTAGTGCGTGTTGAGGTGTATTCGTGGCTGTGGTGAGCGGGCATCGTCTGGCCTACGCCAGCTGATGCCACCACACCACCCCTCTTCCACTCACAGTCCTCTGTGTCTAAATGCAGTTTAAAATTACAAGTGGGCACTGGCACCTGGGATGAGGCTGAAAGATCCCCTTGCCAAATGAATGTGCTCACTCCCAAGGCCCTTGTGGCTATAGTCTTAAAAAGTTTGGACAAGCATGCAAATTGATTATGCGTAATTATGCATCAAAGCTTGTAATTAGAAAAACTCATACAAAGTACTTAGTAAATTGTATACTGAAGCTGTAGTAAACTGTAAACACTTTGTACTGGTATGCACACTTTATATGCTTAAGAGCAGTTGTTCTCAATCCTGGTTCTCAAGGGCCAGTGTGCAGCACATTTTGGTTGGTCCTCAGCTCTAGCACACTTAGAGCTCAGTGGATGACTCACATGTGCAGCAGCTCATCAGGCTTTGCAGAAGCCTGTTAATCACCTGCTGATTGAAATCAGGTGTGTTGTAGCTGGGTTAAAACTAAAGCATGCTGGATACCGGTCCTCCAGGATCAACTACAATTTTAAAGATGCCAACACAAAAGTAGTCTAATTTATTTCATATGAGGCCCACCCATGGATGCTAGCTGATATTTCACAGTGCAGTGTAGATGGTGGTGGACCCATGAGTGGTGGAGCTGGACAAGGAGGCAGAAATGCCAGATCAGGTAAAATAATAAATAAAATGGATTTAATGAATGGCTGGTAGGAGGATACAACAGGAACAACATAACAGGGTTAAAACATTTTGACAAATGACAAGTGCAAAACAGGGAGTATAAATACACAGATAATCAGAAATACATGGGTAGGATAACAAAGGGCAGGTGAGTCTAATAAACTAGGGGTAAACAAGACCAAGAGTCAGGGGTTGGAGCAGATCCTGACAGTACCCACTCCCAAGGGGTGGCTCCTGACACCCATGACAGGATCCCCCCCTAGAAGGAGAGGGTGAGACAATGTCCAACATAAGTCCAAGGACCTGGAGCTCATAGGAGGGGAGCATGAAAATCCCAAGACCTCACAGCAGGACCCTGAGGGCATGGCAGCGAGCTGGGGCCTCTCAATCAGGCGGCATGGCTGGACCACAAGACGTAGATCCAAAGATCTGGAGATGGCCGGAGAGTTGATGTACTGTAGAGGAGCAGAGCGAGGAAACCAGGATCAGTGGCAGGTACTCGACAATCCGGTCAAAGCAGGTGCGCATCAGGATACACTGGGTCCACAGGCAGAGGCTCAGGTTGAAGGGAAGCAGTAGAGGAGCGGGGAGACGAGCCCTACCACCCAGAGAATGTTGGCGTGCGTAGGGGGTCTACTTCACCAGATCTGGAGGACTTCCACAGCTTCCTTGGCAAAACCAGGACAGGGTGGGCAGCACAGGAGAGAATGGGTCGTTCGACCACACGGAAACAGCCAAGATGCGCCGAATCCCTCTGTAACAAAACTCCTTCTGCTGGAATGAAGACAAAGCAAAAAAATAAATATAAAAAATCCTCCAGGCAGGTGTTAAGGCTCATCACAGGGTCAGGTTGGTCAGATCATTCTGTCACAGTGCAGTGTAGATGGTGGTGGACCCATGTGTGGTGGAGCTGGACCAGGAGGCAGAAATAACAGATCAGGTTAAAAAAAATGGATTTAATGAATTATGGCAGGTATGATGATACAGCAGGAGCAACGTAACAGGGTGAAAACATAACAATGATCTGACAAAGGACAAGTGCAAAACAGGGGTATAAATACACAAGGATAATCAGAAACACATGGTTAGCATAACAAGAGACAGGTGAGTCTAATAAACAACTAATTAGGGGTAAACAAGACAAGTCAGAGGGGTTGGAGCAGATCCTGACAGGATAGGTTCAAAATGCATGAATTTAACGACTAATTCCCTTTTTTAACACAGCAACAAGTTCATGGATGCATTATTTTTTTATTTTTTAGTCTCCTGCAAGCTTTTGTTGCAGCACAGCAGAACCAGGCTCTTCCTGAACCTTATTCCATTGCTTTAAACAGACAGTAGACATAATGACAGACCTCATCCTGGTGGCTGACAATAAGTGAAGCTACACAGAGATGCAGAAGATCCTCATTATAGTCAAACACATCAAAGCGCTGCACACATGACAAATATCAAACAATACCTCTGGTTCTGCTGCTCAAACCTGGAAACGGACACAAAATGTGAATAATAGGAACAATAATGCAGAGAGAACAGAAGAAATGGGCCTTCAGGTTGATCACGCTGCACTTTTAGAGCCGTATTAATGTCACACTACATCAGCCGGGAGAGAAAATGTAACAAAGGTGGTTCCAATAAAAAACATTCAATTAGATCAGAGGGAGACGCTCTGCAGCTTGAAGAGACATCCGATACACCGTTTGACAGAGTTTTTGAGAGCACCTAGATGAAAACGTCACACTTCCATCAGTTTATTACGGAGCTGGTAAATAAGGCCTAGTCCACACGTAGCCGGGTTTTTTTTTAAAAACGAACATCCGCCCCTCCAAAAACTTGCATCCACACCACCTCGTTTAAAAAAAAAACTGTCCACACACGTACCCGGATAAATACGTTGTTAAGGACATTCCAGACCTGTAGGCGGCAGTACTTCCCCCGTTCTTAACTCGTCCTTCGTCTGTGGTCTTCCGCAAGGAGCAGTAATTCCGCTTGCAAAAACAAACAAGCAAAAAGCGCTTGGACAATTGATAAAGCGAGCGCAGCTCTGAGGGCATCCATGCTGTCGGCTAGTGTAAACACATGTCGCACACGTGATGTCAGCATTTTTTTGTCGCGGAAAGTGACGTTGCGGACCTTAAAACTCCGGTTTTGTCTGTCCACACGCAGACACCCAAAACGGAGAAAACGCAGATCTTCACTTTGGCCGGAGTTTTTAAAAAGATTCGTTTTCGTGTGAAAAAACTCCGTTTTCGTGTGGATGACAGGCCAAAACGTAGAAAAATATCTACGTTTTGGCAGATCCCCGCCTACGTGTGGACATGGCCTTAATCAAGAAGAAAAATAATTTTGGTGTAAAACATGATTGCTCTCACAGTTTCTTCCCCAGCAGAGCTACAGTATGGCTTATAATCTCTCTGTGTTTCATCTACTAATTACT